CACAACACTCCACTACACAACAGGTGATTTTTTTTTTTTAATAATTATATTAAACTGAACACAATGAAAAATGAGAACACGAAAAAATGACTTATCCATTCTTCCCCCATCAAAGGTATGTATTTTAAGAGTTTAGATGAAGAAAAATATGTTTACCCTGTTTGGATTTCATGATCAAAGAATCATAGAATGGTTGGAAAGGACCTCTCGAGGTCACCTGCTCCAAGCCGTGCTCCAGCAAGGACACCCAGACAGGGTGCCCAGGGCCATGTCAGGCTGCTTTGGAAAACTCCAAGGAGGAGACTCCACAGCCTATCTGGGCAACCCCTGCCTGTGTTGTCACTGCTGGTTCATGTTCAGCTTGGTGTCCAGAACCTCCAGGTTTTTCTCTGCAGAGCTGCTTTCCAGCTGGATGATCCCCAGCATATACTGGTGCCAGGGGTTCAGCCTACACAGTTGCACGACTGCACATCTTGTTGAACCTAATGAGACTCTTTCCAGCCCACCTCTCCAGCCTGCTGACAGCACGGCCCACTTCTCAGCCACTCTTCTCAGTTTTCTGTCATCAGAAAACTTGCTGAGGGTACACTATTCCACATCATCTAGATCATTAACGAAGATGTTAAATAGGATTGGAACCAGCACTAATCCCTGAGGTACAGTTAGTTACCTCCAACAGCCTCCAACAACATTCTGTGCAGGTAATCTCTCAGATCTCCAGCACTCAGTCAGTTTTCAGTCCTCCTCACTGCAGTCCAAACAACAGCTTACTATTTGTTCAGACCTCTTGGAAGACAGTCAAAGGCCTTACTGAAGTCCAGGCAGACATCTGCACTGCTCTCCCTCATTCATCAGGTTGTTCATTTCACTGCAGAAACTTGAGTCAAGAAGGTGGGACAAGCATAGCCTCTCTCTGCTGAATTCTGGATGATGACTACTGGTGATTTTCTTGTCTTGCCTTGCAGAATCACTGCTCCATCACCTTCTCAGGGATCAAGGTGAGGCTGACTGCCAGCCTGCAGTTCCCTGGATCTTCCTTCTTAAGCGGCCTTACTGCTTATAGAATGAATAAATACAATGAAAAGAATGCCCATGGAGTGGACAAATTAAAACCCTTTTTCCCTTCACCAGTTAGATCTTCATGAATCCAAGACAGCCTTGAATTTTTAAATGATGAAGTGACCTCTCTCTTTTCACTACGAAGTTGCAAGATTTCAAGTGCATCAGACTTGGGAAAAATGTGCATCAGGAGTGTGTCAGGCTCAGAGAAAGAGGAAAACAGTATAGTTAAAATCTCATTATTCCAAGTCAAAAGTATATCTTTCTCACTTTTGTATGCTTACTGCAGTACAAACAAATCATTTACACGAATGACCTTAAGACTCAGACGCTAAGTCAGCCAACACTATGGATATATTAAGCATCTACATTGACTAAGTAAGACTTTAACTTATCCAGAGCAGTTCTTTTCTCAAAGGAAAAGCATATCCAGTCTCCACAGTATTTGGATGTCCTAGAGCATTTAACACTGTCTTTTGTGGGACAGCAGTCAAGAGGCATTCCATGGAACAGCCTCCTCACCTATAAAATGGGGGTGCTTTTTTCTTAAGGTAAATCAGTCAGAAAAATCACAACATGGTTCCAATTACGTATATATTTATACCTAATGAAATTAAGTATTCTTAATATGCTTCATATTTGCTAAAACATATTCCAAAATGCAACCACTTTAGTAGTTCAAATGGCATCAGTTTGCATTTGGACAGGAAGAGCTATCCATTTTAACTGCCAGATTGCATGCAAAGAGCATTTACAGCCATATACTTCTGAGAAACTGTGGTTTAAGCAGCATCTAGTGGTTACTCTTATGTAGGCAGTCATTCCTATTCAGCTCTAGATTCAGTCCATGAATGTGGTATTTAGGAAGAAAGGAAAGTGGTTCACTCCTTGTTATGAACAAGATCCAAAAGTGTGTCTGCATTAAAACAAAAATCTTAAATATAATTACCATTAATGCAAAACAAAAGGAACACCCTAAGAAACTGGCACAGTTATTACAGGAAGAAAGACTGAAGGATCTTAAACTGAGGAATATGAGAAAAAAGTTTCAACTGTCTCTTCCAAGGCCACTTTTCCTTCTATTTAAACCCAAACAACCTCATGCTTTTCCAGGAAGAATAAGAATCCAGTACTCACTCTCAATATTTTGTAGATGGTATTGTTGTAAAAGATACAAAGATAACTTGCACCAAGGTAACTTCTATGAATAATACACCCTGAGTCAGGCAAGTCACCAGCAAGCAACTTCTTGCAGATCCTGAAGGAATGGCTGAAATTACTGTTACCAGCTGCACTCAGTAAGATATTATGCAACTACAGCACTGTATGCTGCTTGAGAGTTCCTAAATTGCTTTAGTGAAATGTCAGCTAGATTGACAGACTAGCCATTCTACAATGGTTTATGTTATTCTAGCAAACACAGCCTTATAAGTATTCCTCTTTTGGAAGGTTTTGTTTTGTTTTTATGCTCTAATACAGCATAGCTGGAAGCATTCAAGGCCAGGCTGGATGGGGCTGTGAGCAACCTGGTCTATAGCAGGGGGTTGGAACTACATGATCTTAAAGGTCCTTTCCAACCCAAAATGTGATTCTATTATAGTAAATTATGTCAAGCTCCAATCAATGTAGGCATATAAAACTTTCAAGAGCAAACCACGGCTGGACAAAAACATCCCAGGAAATAATTTTATCAGTTACGTTGCAACAAAATTTTGAGCATACAGATATAGAGGGAAATTAGCACACAATTCTGCAAGCGTGCAGCAATAAGGAGTAGTCTAAAAGAAGTTTTAAAAGTTTCTCAATTTATAAATACAACTCACCCCCAAAATGTCCATAAGACGAAGGGGAAAAGACATTAACTGATGTAAATAATGAAGGGCAAATTGTGAACGTTCTGTTTTTCTTTTGTTAAAATAAAGTAAAACATTTATTTGTTAATTCAAGTAAAGGAAAGTGTCTCCAGGTTTTCAGCATTCAGTTAATAAATTGCTATGTGAGCTACTGAAAAAGGAATTACATCTGGAGCTAAGCATCAGCTTAGGCTGCAAATTCTAATACCTGTAAAAGCCACAGTAGGAATGCACCAAATTTCTGCGAACCAACCCATAATACGATCACAAGGCCCAAAGCTGTTTGGATCTATTCATTCCATTCACTTTTGTTTGTCCACAAGCATTCTGCAATCAAAACCCATCACCATAAAAGTCATCTTCTGCTGATGCCTCCAATACCAACCCTTAAACGTGTAAAGATGATGCAGGTTTATCTTCAGTCATTAGTATCTTTGAGAAGTTGGAAGGTTTCTCTTCTAATTGCAAACTAAAATTAAAGGCACTTATCTAAGCACTCCTAACGTCAGAAAGTCTTACCAGCAGAAAAAAACAAAACCTGCTTCCACTTGGCTTGTTTTGTACATCAGCATCCATTCAGTCACAATGCAAAACTGCTTTTACTCACCAAAAGGAGAGACACCAAAGAGAAATTCCCAGGAGAAAGGTCATTTGGAGCAGTGCCAACATACCATCATGAATTTTTATTTTTTTTAAACAGGAAAAGCTGCAAATCCAGGCTTGTTTTCTCTGTTTGGGTTAAAGCAAGGGAAAACATCACTGATTCATTTACCGCTGTGTTTGAGGACTGTTTCTGTCTAACATGTCAGATCAGACAAAATGAGTTCAAGCTATACTTTGAATCTTCTACTATGACAGTTATAGCAATCACAGAATCATTGTGGTTGGAAAAGACCTCTCAGGTCCTCTAGTCCAGCTGCCAACCCAACCCCCCGGTGCCCACTGAGCCACATCCCTCAGTGCCACATCTCCATGTTTCTGACAGTACTCTGTTACTGTTTCACCTATTTTTTCTAGGCCTGCACAGTACCAGCTAACCTTCTATGTGCTCTACATCATACATCCTTCTATTTTAAGCTCATTCCTTCTGCTTAATTCTTGAATTTTATTCTCCTACTGTGAAAAGAAGAACAAAACCAAAACACCGTAAGCAGCTCCACATTTTACCTTAAGGAACTGCCATTTTAGCACACACAGGTAACAGCTGGCTTGAAGAAAACTAGCCCTCATTCAGCACAGCACTTAAATGGGTAACACCTCAGAGATGCCTCTTACCGTTCACCCTTATCTTCTTTTTGTAGGAGCACATCAAACCTCTCTGCCTCCTACCCCAATGAACCCCTTGCCTGGTTTCCCCTACTTCTTCTGTGTGAGACAACAGAAGTCATTTTACTTTTTCCATGAGGAAATCAGCAGGAACTGCACATCACCACATCTGTGGTGACAGAACAAGGGGAAATAGCTTCAAGCTCAGGGAGGGTAGATTTAGGTTAGATATAAAGAAAAAATCTCCACAGTGAGGGTGGTGAGGCACTGCAACAGGCTGCCCAGTGATGTGGTTGATGCTCCATCCCTGGAGGCTTTCAAGATGAGGCTAGATCAGGCCCTGGACCTGTTCTAGTTGTGGTGTCCTTGTTCATTGCAGGGCAGTTGGACTAGATGGCCCTCAGAGTTCCATTCCAAACTCAAAGGATGCTATGCTTATATACCCGAGAGAAAAACAAGAACAAGTTCCATGAATTGCAGCACATAAAATACAAAGACCAGGACTTACCAATGCAGAGTGCAGCACGTTGTTATGGGTGCCTCCCTCCTTGAAATGGGTGCAGAAACTCTCAGCTTCACTTCCAGTCTCAGAATCACCTGACTTGTGTGCATGTAGAGAAAGAACAACCTTATAGTTAGCAAAGTCAGAAATTCAGGCACTACTGAATACGAGTGCTTATCTTACCTCCTCATTTTAAGATAGAAAACCTGTTTTAAAAAATGTTAAATTCCATAAGATAGCAGTTAAATCCTTTTTTTTTTTTTTTTACTGAATTTAAGACACGAGAAATACAGATTTAAGAGTAATTTTAAAATGACAAATTCACGTTTTGACAAGATTTTATTGTGAAACATTGGATTTAGAAAAGGTACAAAATGTCAGCAGTCAGATGTGTGCCAGTACAGTGTTTTAATGGTCTATACATGAGGACAGCTGAATAGCTTCACTGCAGAGCATGTATTCAGATGCAGCATCCAAGAGGGGGCTGCAATATTTGCAGGCTTGAAAGATATCAACAGCTTGATCCAAAATGGCCATTACTGGTCAGAGATAATCAGCATCTGAGAACAGGCTGGAAACCATAATATGTTACAACAATCTCCTTGCAGATCCACGTTTAAACATCAGTTTACTCTGTTAATAATCCACAGCTTCAGGACAGGATGTTATGGGATTCAGTGGGCATTTTGGAGCTTTTTTAGAACTTCTGTGTGGTTGTGTTTTAAAACCAATTTCACTGAATATGGGTCACCATTCAAGTGGGGAAAAAAAGCAACAGTATCAAAATATTACTCTGAATTAGTGAAAGTCATAAATTTGTATCTTACAAAGGAGAAAAGACAAATATCCCAAAAGGATAGCAGAATTCTCTACCCTAGTTTAACAATTTTAATGAAGGAGCATTTCTAAACATACAAAGTTGATATCAATGTACAAATGTATAAAAACACACACCGTATGAAACAAGCTAGCACAGTTTTTCAAATTATTCAGTAGTCTGTCACTGCTGGAACTTGCTCCAATGACTGAGAGGTTTCACAGGCAGGTGGACAGCCAAGTAAGGTTACATTTTGGTTCATTTATTTGGAAGCCTGTAGTTTATTGTACACAAGAAGCCTACTGGAATACAAGCAGTTACCCTGTACCAAGCTGTACCCAGAGCTGAGCTAAGCCTTCACTCACCTAAGCCTGCTGCACTTTATGCTGAGCTGTAGCTCACCTTCCTGACCAGAGACAGCAGGGCATACGAGGCTACATTGAATAGAAATTCCTGAACATGACTGATATCCATTAAGAGCAAAGCTAAACCTAAACTGATGTCATTTAGAACCAAAATCTACCCCAAACCCTCCTTCTGACACCATATCCACTCCCTTAACTTCAAGGCCATTCGTTTTGGCTACTATTTTCATGCTGTGCATCTTTACCAGGGGATGAGAACCTCGCAATTCATTAAGAGTAATCAAAAGTGACAACTAAGTAACTAATTAATTCAGACAATGGTGAATGTGCACAAGTATATTTACTTTAAATTTGAGTGTGTCTCTCTAATGAAGGCTGCAACATAGGGGGTACAACGTCTGCTAAGGACTTAAAACCAGCGCTGTGTCAAATGGAAAAATATACAAACAAACCACCAAACTTCGGTGTGGCAAAAAAGCATTTCTTTGTTTGTTTGTTTGGGAAGTGTTTGGCATGAGCAGCACTACCAAAACTCCACACCTCACAGACAAGCTACAAAGGTTATCTAAAGCCAAGACTCGCTGCCTGTCTATGAGCTAATTTCATTGCTGCTCCAAGCGCTGCACTTTGATCTTTGATTCCGACTCCTCTGTACACACATTTATATTTACATAAAACATTTATTAAACATGATTTTAAAACATAAAAACCTTATGTACAAAATACCAACATTCCTATAAATAAACAGTTGGAGAAAGGCACTTGCAAGAAAAATCTACAGTAAATCTTACAAAAACCACACTGCCTCTGTTACTGTACAATAGATAGTCTTTCTGTAAATCCCTATCACAAGAATGTAAAACACTAATTAACTGTTATAACTAAGAATATAACCGTTACAGCTGTATTTACAAATACATATAAGCCTTTTTTCAGTTTCACTTGAGCACCATGATTTCCGCCCTAAATTTATTTTTTGATACAAAGTAAAAGAACAGTTGCCAGAAACCAGCATTCATTGTAACTGGAGACTCATAAACATTTGGCTGACATCACTATAGCTTAAAAACATCCGTTGCTGCTTCGTAAAAAGTACACCTAGTTTGTTATTGCATGTTGTCCTTTTAGAGAGAACACTGCTACGTTCTCTACACAATTTTTTAATACTATTGCTGGCAAAAAGTTTCCAATATAAAAAAAATAAAAAACATTCTTCAAGCCAGTTGAAGTGTTCTATCCGAACGGTAACTAAAAAAAGCTGCACATTAACTATAAAAACGTGTAGGAAACATGCCAACTCATCTGGTGTGCAAAAATAGTTCTTCCACTACACAGGATTTTAAGGGCTTCGCAGAATTACTCAACTCCCATTGAGCAGAGCCATGAATCACCACCTCCTCAAGGAGACGTCAGTATACTGCCGCTCTTATCAAACTTTTTACCCTTGGACAGTGCTGCGACCTGCTTGAGCAGCTCTCTGTTTTTGGCCTGCAATACAGACAAAAGAAGTGCTATCAATGAGCAGAAGCCTCAGACTGTACTGGAACGTGCTAACTCCTCACTGCATTTAGGAAACAGATTTTCCAAATGCGTATGTTGAGCAAGCTCAAAGATAATGATTGTTTCCAGAGCCTCAACATGTATGTTCCACCTTCCAACAAAAGGCAACCAGAATCACAGAATGGCCAGGGTTGGAAGGGACCTCAAGGATCATGAATCTCCAACCCCCCTGCCACGTGCAGGGCCACCAACCTCCACATTCAATACCAGACCATTTCCTGAACAGCAAAAGTCAGGACTGGAGTCACTGTACTGAATAGTTCTTCATTCTGTGGTTAACAAGACAGCTCTCTGAGGACTTTTTTCTGCTTAACAGTAGGCATGTAGTTTAACCCAATATGCTTAACAGTTGGTCGTGTTACACTCAACTGTTAAATCAGACCAGCAGCTCGCTCACAACTGATGAAATACCAGAGAACAGAAAAAAATTCCTTTTCGAGCCCTTCTCTAGCACCAATAAGCAGCCACTTACCTGCAACTGTTCCACAGTTTCTTTGTGAGCTTTCTCCATGCTGTTCATCTTTGTCCTCAAGTTTGATTCCTGATACTGGAAGTCTGCTTTCAGTTCTGTCAACTGAAAACATAAATTCCATGAAGATTCCCTGGACTGCTGCAGTACGTCTTCTAATCAGCCTGTGAAATCTTTATGGAATCTTTTGGAATCTCAGGAACTACGGTATTTATTTACAACTGCAATCTCCAGGTATGTCTCACGATTATGTCAGTTTTAGCAATGGGGATATTAACACTATTAGATGCTCTCCCTATGGAAACAGCATAAAACACGTCACTATACAGAAGTTTGATGACATTTACTTACCCAAAGTTTTTGACAGCTTTACCCAGTAGATGAAATTTAAAAATAGGTAATGCATTTCCTCCTGACTCATCACCTTCTAAAGGTTTTATAAGAGAGAGGTAAGAGCTTAATGCTTGTCCTCTGAAGAAACTACCTACGCCCTTCATCACAGGCTACCCAGCTCTTTCACATTAAGCACTTAAAGGTTTGAAATTACAAGTATTTCCAACAGCAGTAACACGAGGCATGTTGTAAGAGCAGTACAAAATGAAGAGTTTCAATATCCCTCACACAGTAGATTTAAGTGTAGAAATGCAGGTACTGCAGATGGTTTAAAACTGGAAATGATTTTCTTCCAGGATCAGCGAGCCGGTCTTAACCATTAAACTTTTGATAAACCACCATGCATACCTATAATCAACTTTTAATTGAAAAGTATTACAAATGTAAATTATTTTCAATACAATTCCATAACCTCCTCAACACTGAATAATCTAGAACCACTATCAGTGTCTTAACAGCACCTAGTTATGAAGAAAGGTTGAGGGAACTGGGCTTGTTTAGCTTGGAGAAGAGAAGGCTGCAGGGAGACCTCAGTGTGGCCTTCAGTACTTCAAGGGAGCGTATAAACAGCAGGGGGAATGGCTGTTTGTGAGGGTGGACAGTGATAGGACAAGGGGGAATGGTCTTAAACTGTGACAGAGGAGGTTTAGGTTTGATATTAGGAGGGAGTTTTTCACACAGAGGGTGGTGACACACTGGAACAGGTTGCCCAAGGAGGCTGTGGATGCCCCATCCCTGGAGGCATTCAAGGCCAGGCTGGATGTGGCTCTGGGCAGCCTGGTCTGGTGGTTGGTGACCCTGCACATAGCAGGGGGTTGAAACTGGATGATCTTTGTGGTCCTTTTCAACCCAAGCCATTTCTGATTCTAATTAATCAGATGGCAAAGAAATAAGCTCTAATAAAGGATAATCACAGTACATATTTTTTTGTTTTTGAAAGCTGAATCTCTTTTATGAGTTTTGACTGCAGTCATTTGAGCCTAACTATATTTCACTTAACTTTTCCTGACTGCCAGGCACCTAATCCAAGCTTATCATCAAGCTTATCCACATCATCGACCACAGACCAAGACCTGATAACCTGCACAACACACATACTACCAGTATTTTAAAATCCAAACATGTGCTTTACATAAACTGTACATGTAAATTTGTATATCATCTCATGAATTATGGCATAGTAGCTTTAATTTAAAACTAAGGTTATGCTAAGCTTGAAATACTTACTACTCGTATTCCTCCTCTTATCTTGTGTGCCCATCAGCCTACACAGATCATTTGGGACCTCTGCTATGATTCAATTTCAAACATGTAAAACACACAAACCGCTGGCAGTTTAGGTAAGATTAATATAATTTGGCTCTGAGTCAAAGAGGAATTCATGAGACAGAAATCCCAGACTTGTCCTTGAAAAGGTAAGATCTCATTAGTTACTATATAAAAAACCTGCAACTAATTTTTGTTTTCTCACACAAGTAGGAGCCTACAAAACAGACAACAGAGTGATGCAGTTCTCGTTAAGCAAATGCAATTTTTACCTTTTTATCTTTCTCTAGGATAGTCTGATCTCTTTGCTGCAGAAGGCGTTTAAGTGACATTACTTCTTCTTTCAGCTGGCTTATGAGGACAAAGTTGTCAGTTCCCCCACTGTCTGCTGACTGATTTATAGAGCTACTAAAAACAGAAAAAGTTAATTATGACATCAATAGAAAAAAGAAGCAGTACATTTTTTTTCAAAGTTCAAATTGGACAATTAATAATTCTACAAACATCCTTAAGAACTCATGCAAAAAAAGTATGTACCTGACAGAATTGGATGCAACTGGCAAATTACCTTACTAATGGCACACATTACATACACCTGCAGAAATATAATTCAGTATTAGCTCTGAGGGGGAGAAATACCTTTTGGTTGAAGCAGCCCCTTTTACATTCATCCCAACTGTTTGGTCAGAAACAGAATAACGATTCAGTCTCACACCTTAAGGCCTAAAAGGCTTCTCTGGATACTAGCTCAGCATTAAGCAACAGGTTCAACCCTGCATCTAATCCAAAAAAGGTCAGGGAATAGCATTTCATTGGTAACCAATGCCTCATTATTTCACCTTTATTTAATGTTGTCCCAAGCAGCTTAAAAGTAGGAAGGCAGTGCCAGTTTTCTGACAGACAGCACTCAGATGCCACCCAGTAATCTGTGTGGCTGGACAAGGTGCACCTCCCTCACTCTTCAGACAGCAAAAGAAAACAAAAAAAGGAAGCAGCTGGCAACAAATCAGTGCTCTATTTGGTTGAAACACCTCAGCTTTACAAAAATGTAACTTTACCTATCTCCATTTGATGGCTTGGATTCCAGTTTGGGCTTTTTCTTTGGAGTTTCATTCTGAATAGCTGCAGAGGATTTATGGCTGAAATCAAACAAAATGTAAACCTAAAGCCTCGTGCTACATAACCCTCTAATTCACCATTTGGTACATGTAATATCACTAACTCATGCTCCTTGCTGTAATGCTAGAGACTAGCCAGAAAGGCAAGGAAAAAAAAGTCCTTTAAGTAAAAATGGCAAGATAAATTAAGAAGAAATCAACAAATAATACCATATTTACCTCTGTTTCCATAGTCCCTGATCTTGTTCTGGACTCAGACTGCTGATTCTGAAATAAACGAAACATCCTTGGTATAACTGACCAAAAGTACCATTATTTCTAAGTTTATATAAATCGTATCTGTACTTAACAAAAGTCACCCCCAACCTTTTTTTTTTTTCTTTAAATAAAAAATTACCTATTTTAAATATTCAGCTGGACAGCATTACCTGTCCCATTCATGACCCCTCTTTATAATGTCAAGATGCTGACATTTTTTTTGGTCTAAATATTTACATTACTACAACATGCAAGATTTCATGACTGATGGTTAAATCTTTTTTCCTCGTATTTCCCAATTTCTGTGTACATCCTATGGCTAATCTTGTGCTCAGCAAGCTAGTCTAAAACACCACTCTGTCTCGGAATTCCCATACTCTAAAGTGAGCATAGCCTAAAATGGTGCTTAATGATGGCATATTAGCAGCCTTCAATTTTAGATCCCTGAAAACATCTATCTTTCGAGTCTAAACGTCTGTCTTCAATCATTTGGAAAGTAACTTCACTTAATGCCACTGACAGAGGAACAGTAAAACTGAGAAGACCAGGTTGAATCAAACAGTTCAATGATTTTTCATTTCTACCTTGTATTATTCTCTCACCTCAACAATAACTGAAACGGATAGGAAAAGTCTTATTTATTGGACCAGAAGCAATGGACCCAGGGCAGCCTACAGAAAAAAGGTGCCAAACAAGCAACATTACGACCTGTATAGAAATATGCTCATTTTGTTAACTCTTGAGAACATTAGAAGCTCCATTCTATAAAGAGCTAACTTTATAAAACTCTTACTGTACCTCATGCATTACATTAGGTTTAGCTTGCTGCAACTTGGCTTTCACAGATTAGAGAAAACAGTACAGTAATTCTCTGAAGGAAAAGAATTTTATTCAGGTTTCTAAAGAAATCCAGACTTTTTTTTTTGAACTGGGCATATTTACATTTCTCAATACCACTGCAGTTCTTTTTGTTGTTTTTTTTTTAAGCCATACTTAACCAAACAAGTTTCAGTCAAAAAGGAAAAGCAAAGCTTAGAATGGAAGTTTGTTCTTGTGATGGAGTCATCACCACTGCTGCCATACTAGCTGTTATCTGACACAAAGATAAATCAAGCAGTTCTAAAGTGTGCCCAAAGCCTATCAATGAAAATAAAAATCATGGCCACTATTACCACAGTATAAGAAACAAGTCAGTCTCGGAATTTGTGATTTGTTAAGCTGGGTATCTAAATTAAAGGCTGTATGCTGCTTCTACCACAGCCAGAGATGGTGTACAGAAAAATGTTGCAGGAGATGGGAAGAACCATGTGAGCTGTTCTCTGTGTCAGTAACTGAACTGAGTGCTATTTTCCTATGCCTGCATAATGAAATCCTGCGGGATTTGATTATCACTAGCAAAGAGATTCACGCTGGTCCTAGACTGGTGGTGATCTCATACCTTTACTTCTGCTTCTCCATTTCACAACTATGAGCACACAAACGAGGCACAGTTAAGTAAGTTAGGGTGGGGATTTTGAGCGAAGCAGATACTGTAATATTAATATGCTAACACACACCTTTTAGCCCATGGTAAACGCATGCAAAATAGCAGTTGGCACACAGTAATTACTGCTTAGAAATCCATGTTTATCCCTAAGTAGCTTCATTTTCTGTGGCCATCCTGTGGGTATCTTTTCTCTGTTATCAATCAAGCAGTTTGACAGTCGCTGAGAATTTCTGCATCCCTGTCCTCTCTTCACTCAAATTGTTGGAAAACAAAGATTTCCACAGACAGTGGGAGAAAAACATTCTGCTCCTACTTCTGATGACGTATGTTAAGCAGCCTTTCTTATTTCCTTCCATTTCCTGACAGTCCTCAGTCCTGACAGCACACAATTGGAAAACGTACCTCCAACCACTCTATTTCTTGAAATACTTACTTATGGTGACCACTGCTGTGACGGTGGTGGTGGTGGTGATGGTGGTGGTGTTTTGAATGGTGCTGGTCTTTCTCAGTAAGAGATGAAGCTGAGGAGTTTGAATGTGAAGATCCTAGACTCTTCCTCTGTTCTTTTGTCTTCTGTAGCACTCGTTTGTAGGACAGAGTGCAGAGCCAACACAGCAACTTTCCATCGACCTTTTGGGAAATAATTCATAAGAGTTTTTTCTCCCAATTACACTTGCATTAGAAATATATATTTTAATACTTGCAAAAAAAAAAGAAAAGTTTCAACTCATGTTATCTTTAGGAAAAATCCAAACACCCCTTCAGTATAAAACAGCACTACAGTATATACAAGTAAAGTGAATCTTATTCCACTTCTTTTGTGTAATAGGGAATTATGCCAGAAGGCAGTCTTAGCAAATATGGGACAAACTCTACATCGCAGAAGAGTTAATACAGTTAATACATTTTCTAGGGGGCAAATCATTCTCAGCTTAGACAACATGTAACCTCTCTCAACCCATCGCACTCAATTAAGATGTCTCATATGAAATGGGAACATCTGTTGTCAACCTAAGCCATGACAGCTCCGGAACAAAGCTTACCTTCCTTCTTCCCTCCTCTTTTCGATCAAAAGCACACTGCTGTTTGCACTGCTCACATGTTTGAGGTGGGCCATACTTCTTTTCAGAGTTGGTGCAGCGCTGACATTTTGTGCCAATAAATGCTGCAATAATATTACAATACTGACAAGGCTTGGGCTGAAAAACAGACAAATTGAATGGAGGTTAGTTCATTGAAGAAACTGTGAAGCATTAGCACAGTTAATTCAAATCACAGGATGAGGATGCTTCCAAACTCCAGTGGCTCCATATGATGCATCTTAAACCTTTCTTCCAACCATCTCTCTCTCCAGTACTTACTTTTTTCTCAACAAAGATAATCCTTCAAAGGTCAAAAACCATCCTGGAATTGCCATGAAAACCCAGGTACAAACGTTGGATCTGCACTGTACTTTACCGTGCTACATCTCAAGCTTTTCAAATACTGCGCTTTGTTTGGCTTACATTTATATTCACTAAACGCCTGCCTACATGCCAACAGCTGATACGTTTCTCCAATAAGCTAAATTTCATCTACAGTAGATGAAGTTACGAGGTTTTGTTTCACAAACGAGATTATCCTGATACCTTCCATGAACTTGTGTCGGCAGGGCACACAGATGCAGTGTGTGCATTCACCTATTAAAAAGTTTAACTTCTCTAGCAGAACTGGAGCTGACATTTAAAACAAGGAAACCTAAAGTAACACGAATACAGCTAACACTCAAAATCTGTCCTACTTAGTAGCTTAATATGATTAACACACAGCAATTTTCAGACTTACACAACGCAGTGTGACTAGACTGACACATTTAGCACTCATAAAGAACACAGGCAGCTAACGGCCCTTCTGCTGTCAGCGTGTGTTCGTGAGAACAGGCAAAGACTTTCTTTACATGCATGAAGTGAATTAACATTGTTTTTTTCTAACTATACCGCAATTATAAATGACTGTTAAGCTGCATTTAACCACAAGGGACTTAAAAGCGAACAAAACAAACTGGAAGCCAGGAAGGAAATCTATCAGTAACCTTTCTCACCTTCGAATCATAGAATCACAGAGGGTGGAAGGGATCTCCAGAGACCATTGAACCCAAGCCCCCTGCTAAAGCAGGTTCCCTACAGAAGGTTGCTCAGGTGTGTTTTTAATATCTCCAGAAAAAGAGGCTCTGCAGCCTCTCTGGGCAGCCTGTTGCAGTGCTCTGTCATGCTCACAGAAGAGTAGTTGTTCCTTGTGCTTGCATGGAGCTTTCTGTGTACCAGTTTGTGTCCACTACCCCTTCACCTGTCGCTGCACACCACTGAAAAGAACCCAGACCCATCCATTTGACTGCCACGCTTCAGACACTTATGAACAGCGATGAGATCCCCTCTCAGCCTTCTCCAGGCAGAATAGCCCCAGGTCCCTCTGCCTTTCTTCACACAGATGCTCCAGGCCCATCATCATCTACGCAGCCCCCCCAAACTGGGGAGCCCAGACGGAGCACTATAGACGTGAGCTCAGCACGGCAGGTCACAGGGTCAGATCCACCTCCCTCCACACCTTTCCAAAATTCCTTACCGCCTTTCCCAACTCCCCCCCCCCCTCCCCGTGCTCTCGGCGCCTCTCACCGTTCCGAACTGCTTCACGTTCTGGGCGCACTTCTTGCAGATGGTGTTCGTTTTGCTAAAGACAAGACCAGCGTCAGTGGGGCTCCGCGCCAGCACCCCCCGAATGCAGCGCCGCCTCCGCGTTCGGGCGTGCGGGCAGTCGATCTCAGCGCCCACCCTCCAGCCCCAGAGGGCCCGGCCGCCGCCCTACCTCTCCTGCTGGAACTCGGAGCGGCAGTAGGTGCACTTGACGATGGGATGGGCGATACGGCACTCCTGGGGGAGAACAGCGGTCACGTCCCGCCCGCGGCGCCCCTCGTGCAGCGGCGCCTCCCGACGCGGATTCGCCCGCCCGCCCCCCGCCCCTCCCGCCGCTCCCCGGCACCTTGCACAGCTGCTGCCCCTGCGAGAGCTCCTCGAACGGGTACCGCTGGTTGCACTTGGTGCAGGCGTACAGAGCCGGGGCTGCCGCCGCCGCCATCCGCGCCGCTGCCGGCGGGGCGGTCGCGGGCGGGCCCGAGGGAGGGGATGAGGGAGGTGCGGGGCGAGGCCCGGAGCCGAGGTGCCGCCCGCGCCCCCCGTTCCCCTCCCGCCGCCGTGCCCGGGAGCGCTCCTGCCCGTCCCGCGCCGCCCCGCGCCGCCCTAGGCCCCGCGCGCCGTCGCCGCCGCCGCGCCGCGCCGCCTCCCCCTTGTGTCGGTGTCGGCGTCACCCCGCGCCCCCCGCCCTTCCCTCCACCCCGGGCTCGGAGCTCCCGCGGCAGCCAATCACCGCCTCGCGCCAAACCGGCCTTCAAAACTCGCCGCCCAATCGCCGCCCCCGCGCCGCTCGGAGCCGCCAATCCGGACGCGGATGCGCCGCCCTGCGCTGCCCGCCGATTGGATGGCCCGCGGCTCGCGGCACTGATAGGTCCCGCCTGGGGGATTCTTGCTTTCTGATTGGCCGACGTTCAGGGGCTCACTTTGACAAAGACCGTCCTCTTCCGCTACCTGCCCGCTGCGCGTGCGCAGAGAGCTTCTCGTGCAGCACACAAATCCCGCGGCCGCTCGCCCCTCCCGGTTTCGTTCTCTCGGCTCACGCGATTGGTGAAGAGAGTCCGCGCCCCCTCGACCGCCTCGTGTCCTTCGATTGGCTGAGAAGCGTTGTTTTTCTTTTTTATTGGATGATCGGCACGTCACTCAAATCTGAATGCGTGACGCTACGAGGCGAGCATTCGGGGGCGGTGCTCACCTCCGCTCTTCCTTTCTCATTGGCGAGCCGCCCCGCCGCTCAAGCGCCACGTGACAAGAGCGGGCGGCACCACCACCGCGGTCTCAAAGAGCCGTGCGCGAAAAGGCCGTGCTTGAGCGCGCGCGGCTCCGGTGGACATGGCGGCGGCGCGGGGGCAGCAGCGCACGGTGAGGCCGGCGGGGCACAGCGGGGACCGAGGCTGGGGCCGCGCCTTGGCACTTGTCGCTTCTGAGCGGCCGTTGTACGTTTCTGTCCCCTCACTCAGGCCGTTTCCCTTTTCCTGCGCTGATGTCCGTGCCTGTAACGCGCGCCCGGCTGATTCTGGATCGGGGCTCCGCCGTAAGCAATACTGCGGCGCAAAAGCAGGAATTAAAAGCTAGCTTGAAGAACTTAATCTTCGAGGTGCTTTATTTTTGGCAGGAGGGAGGCTGTAGTGTGTAATTAATGCAGCCCGAGGCTGCCAGGGGAGGAATGCAGCCTTGGAGCCGCTGCCGTGTGCTGTGGCGGGGCTTCTCCATGCTTCATCATCTCGGTCTGCCTTCTTTGTCACAGAGGAACAGACACCCGCGTGCCGTAACGGCTCTTTTTTGTTCGCAGGGTGAACTGCGCAGAGCTCCGAAGTCTGCATCGGCCACAGACAGACTCTCTGCAGCTTCCTACCTGGACTACCCAAAGCACAAGCCCTTCATCAATTCCGATCTGCTGCGCTCCCCGCACAAGCCTGTGGTTCCTTATCCTGAGAGCAACAGCAGAGGTAAGAATCATAGAGTCATAGAATAGCGTGGCTTGAAAAGGAGCACAATTATCTCGTTTCAACCTCCCTGCTATGTGCAGGGTCACCAACCATCAGACCAGCCTGCCCAGAGCCACATTCAGCCTGGCTGGAACAGCTGCACAGAGAGGTTGTGGATGCCCCAACCTTGGAAATATTCAAGACCAGGTTGTATGGGGCCTTGGGAAGCCTGGTCTACTGTTAGATATGGTGGTTGGTCACCTTGCCTGTAACAGGGGTTTGGAGCTTGATGATCCTTGAGGTGCCTTCCAACCCAAGCCATTTTATGATTCTACGTGAGCTGCCTGGCACAGGCTCCTTGAGAAAACACCCCCTGGAGACTGGCATTGCACAGAGGCTGTGACAGATCTGCTGTTTTCTTCCCTATGAAGGGAAAAGGGAATGAGATTTAGGATGAACCTTAAGTTAGTCTATGAAAATAAAGTCATGATAGGCTCAAGTACTTGTTCCAATGTTGTAATTCATGTTGGAGTTTAGAGACCTGGATGTTAATGATCTATTGGATCAAAGGTAATATATGCTCTGACATGCAGAATGCAGTCAGTTTGAGAGGGCTGCTGGCTCAGCTGAAGGACTTGTATGACACAAAGACTGGATGTGCAGCAAAGAGCTTACTTGTAAGTGATGCAGGTGTGTTTTTGTACATGGTGTTTCGTATTGATCAGTTTTTGGTGCTTAAGTTTTTACTTCCAACTTTTCTCAAGCAAGTAATCTGCAACTCTGGAAACAAATGCAGGTAGGGGGACAACTTACAAAAAGAGATATGGTTTATTAAATGTGTATATATGTAAATAGGAGTGCATATAGAAAATAATAAAATCAAACAGGCAGTTTCTCAAATATCTTACTTTTTTTGTCTGTGTAGACTTTACAAGGCCTAACATTTCTGTGAGTATATATTCTAGAAAAGATAAAGATTTGGGAGTTAATTTCAAATGGGAGGATAGATCTGGTAGTTCTTAAGTTTCCTTACTGCTCCTGCCTCCCTGTTCTAAAAAATCGCATTTAAAACCTGGAAACTATGCAGAGTAAATTCTGCTTGTTTTGATTAGGGCTCTGTGTTTGTTTCAGGGTAGGTGGTTGTTTTCATACTCTAATCTGGAAGGCTGGTACAAAGTAACTCTTCCTTGGATATTTCTTTGTTCTGAAGTGATACTTGGCATCCTGTAGGATTCCACCTTTATCCATTCATTGCTCAAATTGCTTCACTGATCTATTTTGCTTCTTGTTACTGTAAATACTCGAGGTTTTAATTTAGCCCTTGGGATTATGTAACAGCTGTTGATAGCTCCAGCTATGCCAGTTTCACCTGAGGCCTGGTAATGGTAATATCAAGAGAAGAGGGTATAGTCGGTGATTCTGGTCCTGCAAATTGGATTAGGTCATCTACAACTTTCCCCTTAGCTGTAACTGCTGTCATTCCCTTCTGAACCATTTAAACTGCCTTATAGCAAGCAGGCTGGTTGCTCAGTTCTCTGCATTTCAAGCTTTGATGCATTTTTCACTTTGGAAAACACATCCTTTTTTTTTTTTTTCCTTTCTTGTAATGTGATGCCCAACCAAAAATGCAGTTTCAGTTTTTTTCCTGTGTTCATGCCTCCTTTCTCTAGAGCAGGTTTAAGCACAAGGGAGCAGGCTAACATGAATCACATCTGCTCTATCAGCTGCCTGTGCTGGTGTTCTCATGTTATACTTCAGTAGGACTGTGTAGGGAAAGGAGCTTATGTTTGTGATTCCCTTTGCAGAATGAAACAATACAGCTAACAGACAGGTGGTCTGATGGCAAGGTGGTGAGAGTTATGTTATAGCTGCTTTTTTTTCCTGTGATGAGTGTAGAAGGGCTTTAAGCAATTGTTGGAGTAGGGAAGGGAACAGAAATGGGGAAGCTGGTTAGCACAGAGAGGGCACATGCGTTGTGGGCATGAGGGGTATAACAGGTATAGCAGAGGTATAACAGGTTAGCCCCTGCTTGGAGAAATAAACATCTCTTAGTTTCTGACCTTTATACTCCTCTGTGGTCACTAATAGGAATGTTTTCTGCATGTGCTTGTGGAGGCATAACAAACGTATGGAGAAGTTGCCACTGCTTTAATAGTTCAGCTGTTACTTTAAATTTCCAGCTGACAAAAGTCAGAAGGGGCACTGTTTGCACTTAATCTGCAGAATATTTGCCTGAGCAATAATTCATGGAGGGAGTCCTGGCTGGTGGGAAGGAGCTCTGGCTTTCTTACGTAGCACATTTGTCAAGGTAACATCAAACTTGAATAGTGCTTGTAAAAGCAACTAACAAAAGATGCTCACTCAATTACAGCAATATTTTCTGCTCTGAAGAATCTTCAGGAAAAAATTCGTCGGCTGGAGTTGGAACGGCTTCAGGCAGAGGAGAATGTCAAACACCTCAGCAGAGAAACAGCAGACTACAAGAAAGTACTAAGTGAGCAAATGCAGCACAGAGAGCGTGACAGAACTGAAGTGTCAAAGAAAAATCAAGGTTGGTTGCTGTAGGTAACACTGAACACTGATGTGGATGAAATCTGGGCTTCACCAGAGCATGAAGCTGTTCTAGCTGACTTTGTTCAGTCTCTTTACTTTGTAGTGAAGCATGGAGTTTTGAAGCAGTTGTTTTAAAAGCAAACTTTGTTCTGGGGGTTTGCTGCGTGTATGAGTTGATTCAGCTTCGTCTCAGTTTTAGATGAGCCTTTCCTTGCTTGTTTTTGAAGTGTCCTAAAAATGTCCCAAAACAGCCCCTACGAGCAGCACTTCAATTTCACTTTTTGGCCTTCTGTTACCTTCAGAACTGGCTTCTCAGCTGGCAGCTGCTGAGTCTCGGTACAGCCTGTTAGAGAAACAGCTGGACTACATGAGAAAAATGATCCAGCATGCAGAAAGGGAGAAGACACAGCTCTTGGAGAAGCAGGTGTGTTCTCAGGATTAAATGTGGGAGAAACATAATTGTATGAACTGTGTCATGATTTCTTAGAGTTAATGCCTTCAAGCACTGGTGTCTGTTTGAGCTGGCCTTTATATCATTTTCAGTATTATTAGGACCTTGGTATTTTATTTTATTTTTTTAACCTTTGTGCATCTGTCTCTGTGGCAATACTAAAGGCTGTGGTATTAGTGAGTCACATACCAGCAAGTAATTCTCACTTGCCTAAGCTCATCCGTATGCCTTGGAGTATAACTGACTGCCAGTGGACAAACCTTCCCTTTTGTGATTGGTCTTCAAATCTATTGAGATTTTATCAGGGAAAGTACTAATTGAAAGAAACTGAATCTGAAATATTAATTCTGTAGAAATGATGGTGAATTGTTTTTCCTATCATCAGTTATTGTGGGGATTTGCCCTATGTCAGAAATGAGCTTAAACTTTCTTTTGTAGGTATGTGTATCACCTAGGGCTCTCTGTTCACTGGCTTCTGTGGCTCCCCTATTTCAGACTATTAAACATTTACTGAAGAAATAAAGAAAATTGCCTCTAATTACCGACTAATAAAATGGGGGTTTTTTTTGTCCTATTTGGAATGGAATGGAAGGGAGGCTGCAGAATTTTT